TACACCCTCGGGCTGCGGTCCACCATTTGGTTGCGATCAAACATTTTACATGAGCTGCGGTTCATATTCCTGGCTGCGGTCTGATGATCACTTTTGGGCTGCGGTCCACTGTTTGGTTGCGATCAAACATTATGATGAGCTGCGGTTCATCGGTCGGTTGCGATCGACCCCTTCGTATTGCGATACGAGGCAGGGTGCTGTGGGGCCGTGTCAGAGCTATATGCGCTGACCCTCATGTATGGGTATGCGATTGGTCCTGTGGCGCCACCAAAGTGTGCTTGTGTGTGATGAGATACGAATGGGAATGATGATATGAAGTGAATCTATGACCATAGGATTTATGCTAGTATCTTTATATTCTTGTTTATAACTGTTGAACGTGCCTGCCCCTATCTGTCGAGTCTATTCTTGGTTTTAAAACTAGTGTCTCTTAAGTATATATCTTCCTGCTTCAAAATGGTTTTCGTATATATATATATATATATATATATATATATATATATATATATATATATATATATATATAATGTATTTCAACGCGTTGGAGTGGGTTACCGGCATCTCTCGCTGAACAGATATATTTGGCTTTCAGGAACAGACGAGTAGACACTGGAGCGCGCTAGAGACTTGGAGCGTAGAGTAGATAGTTTCCCTTTCGGCCTGCGTGCCATGCTTACGTATTGACATTATTGAGGATTTTAGTTAGTTAGCCTGTGCACCTGAGTTCTCTAGCTCAGGTGTGACATAGCACCCCGTACTCTTATGTTATGTTTTTAATGAGAATTTACCTTTATTCTATAAGTCTTAAAAGTTTTAAAATTTCGGGGTGTTACAAGTAGACACTGGAGCGCGCTAGAGATTTGGAGCGTAGAGTTGATAGTTTCCCTTTCGACCTGCGTGCCTTGCTTATGTATTTACATTATTGAGGATATTAGTTAGTTAGCCTGTGCACCTGAGTTCTCTAGCTCAGGTGTGGCATAGCACCCCGTACTCTTATATCATGTTTTGGGATTTAATGAGAATTTACCTTTATTATATAAGTCTTAAAAGTTTAAAAATTTCGGGGTTTTACATATTACACCATAATCTTTTAATTGGTGAATCATCCATAGGATTTGTGCACAACAACTGCCAGCCGCAATGTATTCGGCTTCAACAGTCCTAGTTGCAATAGAATTTTGCTTCTTGCTAAACCAAGACACGAGTCTTCCCCCTAAGAACTGACAGGTTCCTGAGGTACTCTTGCGATCAATTCTACATCCAGCAAAATCAGCATCTGAATAGCCAATAAGATCAAAAGAATTTCCTTTTGGGTACCAAAGTCCTACACTCTGGGTTCCCTTAAGGTATCTTAAGATCTTCTTAGCAGGACTTAGGTGACTTTCTTTCGGTTTAGATTGAAATCGTGCACATACACCAACGGCAAAAGAGATATCGGGCCTACTGGCCGTGAGGTAAAGAAGAGATCCGATGATTCCACGAAAGTTCTTTTGATCAACATCTTTCCCTTCGTTATCAACATCCATTCTTAATGATGTACTAATGGGAATTTTGACTGAGGACTTTCCATCAATTCCAAATTTGCGAATTAAGTCCTTTGTATATTTTGCTTGATTAATGAATATCCCTTCCGGACATTGTTTAACATGCAAGCCAAGAAAATAGTTCAATTCTCCCATCATGCTCATTTCGAATTTTCCTTGCATAAGGTTTGAGAATTTCTCACATAATTCTGAATTTGTACTTCCAAAAATGATGTCATCAACATAGATTTGAACTAGCAAAACATAATTATCATCTTTGATCCGAAAGGGCGTTTATCAACAGTTCATTTCGTGAAACCACAATTGATAAGGAAATATGAAAGCGTATCATACCAAGCTCGTGGAGCTTGTTTTAATCCATATAAGGCCTTTTTGAGATGATACTTTTTCTTGTCTGCAATCAATCGCGAAACCAGGAGGTTGTTCAACATATACTTCTTCTTCAAGAAGACCATTTAAGAATGCACTTTTGACATCCATCTGGTAAACTTTGAAATCCTTATATGCTGCATAGGCAAGGAACATTCGTATCGTTTCAAGCCTGGCTACAGGGGCGAAGGTTTCATCAAAATCAATACCTTCTTCTTGACAATAGCCTTTAGCAACAAGACGAGCTTTGTTCCTAACAATGAGACCATCTTCACTCATTTTGTTTCTGAATACCCATTTGGTTCCAATGACATTTTGATGTGTAGGTCTCAGAACTAGTTCCCATACATTATTTCGTTCAAATTGGTGAAGTTCCTCTTACATGGCTATAACCCAAACTGGGCCACTTAGTGCTTCTTCAATAGATTTTGGTTCTATTTGTGATAGAAAACAAGCCATCATATTTTCGTGCAATGAAGCTCTCGTTCTTACTCCTTCTTGTACATCTCCAATGATTTGATCGGGAGGATGATCTCTCAGCCATCTTAGATTTGGTTCAAAAAGTGGTTGTTGCTGCTGATCATTCATTTCAGGAATATATGGTAGGCCAATGTATATCATTGGTTCTGAGGTAGGTTGAACGTTCGTGTTAGTGACTCGTGTTTCTTCAACATTTTGAGCACTGGATTCAGAATTCACAGACTTCGGTTGATATTTTATGAAGGAAGGAAGATGATCTTCGAAGTCTGAATCTTCGTCATCTATGATTACATTTTCTCGAGAGGTTGAGCCATGACCAGTTGTTTTGTCCATCTTAACAGAGATTTTCTCGGATTTATCATCAAATTTAACGTGTATGGATTCTTCTATGACCATTGTTCTTTTATTTAGAACTCTGTATGCTTTACTAACCGAAGAATATCCCATAAATAGTCCTTCATCAGCTCTTTCATCAAAGGCTCTTAGATGAGTCTTCCCGTTGTTATGAATAAAGCACCTGCAACCAAAGATGTGAAAATAGCTAATGACAGGTTTCTTACCTTTCCATAATTCATATGGAGTGAGATTGTGAGCTTTGTTGATCAGGGATCGATTTTGTGTGTAGCAAGCAGTGTTGATGGCTTCGGCCCAAAAACGTTCAGGCAGTCCCGAATGTGCTATCATCGTTCGTGCTGCTTCTTTCAAAGTTCTGTTTCTTCTTTCGGCAACACCATTTTGTTGTGGTGTTCTTGCAGCCAAAAGTTGATGAAATATGCCGTTTTGTCCACAGAAATCCTTGATCACTTTGTTAACAAATTCAGTTCCCTGATCTGATTTAATCCTTATGATGTTGATTTCCTTCTCTGCTTAGAGTTGTCTCAGAAGATTAGGTAAAACAGTTTCTGTTTCGTTTTTCTTCTTCAGGAACAATGCCCATGTATACTTCGTGTGATCATCTACCACAACCAGTGTGTATTTTCGTCCACTGAGACTTGCGGGGTCAACTGGTCCAAAAAGGTCCATATGTAGCAAACTCAGTGGTCGAGAGTTTACGTCTGACTCTTTGGACTTGAAGGATGATTTTATTTGCTTTCCTTTTTGACACGCTTCACAGAGCTTGTCTTTAACGTACGTTGCCTTTGGTAAACCTTCTACTAGTTCTTTCTTTGCATGTTTGCTAATGGTCTTTATGTTTAAATGACTCAGCTTGTTTTGCCATTCCCAGCATAGATCTGCATTGCTTTTAGCTACAAGATAAACGTTAGCATTAAAAGAGTTCCAAGTGATAACATACATGTTTTTCTTTCGTTTTGCTGAGAGAACAATTTCGCCATCTCTCGTGCTGACGATATTGCATTTGTCTTTGGAGAATTCAACGTTATATCCTTTGTCGCAAAACTGACTTGTGCTTAGCAGATTGAATTTCAATCCTTCTACGTAGGAGACATTTTGAATTGTTATGCCATTTTTGATGACATCTCCTATTCCACAAGTTTTTCCACTTGTTTCTCCTCCAAATATCACTTTTGGGCCATCAATTTCCTTAAAGTTGCTCAAAATTGTTTTGTCACCAGTCATATGTCTTGAGCATCCACTGTCCACATACCATATGACTTGTTTTTCCTGCAAGAAAGATTATGCATTTTTAGGTACCCCTTGGGTTACGGGTCCTTCGGGGTTAGAGGTCAACTTTGGGATCCAAGCAAACCTAGAGTAATCTCTACTCATTCTCTGTCCCTTGTACCCGTTAAAGACACGATAATCATAGAAGATTTTTAAAAAGGTTTTGTTCTTATATGCTTTTGAAAATAATCAGCAAGAGGATTATGATACTGCTTGAAATAATTGGTTTGTTTATGCAGATGTATCTTGTAAAATTGCTCTTTTGACAGAGGTTCGGGAAAATCAAACCAATCTTCCACTAGTACAGAAATGCACATTCGCTACCCTTGTAAAGGGTCATCCGCTACCCTTGTGCAAGGGTAGCGGATGTGGGGGACGCTGAAAGTCGTGAGCTTTCCGCTACCCTTGTATAGAAGGGTAGCGAATATTATTATATTTTTAAAGCATCCGCTACCCTTCTTTTGAAAGAAGGGTAGCGGATTTTTTTTTTATTTAAAAAAAAAACATTTTATTTTTAAATCCCCCAATTTTTTAAAAATCCTATACGAAATTCATACACTACATATCAACACAATATTATCAACAAACTATCAAAACACAATATTATCAACACACTATATATTAACACAATATTATCAACACACTACATATTAACACAATATTATCAACACACTATATCAAATACTAAAGTAAAAGTAAAGGAGCAAGATCACTTATTTCTAATGTAATAATTTAATTTGTTATTCAAAGTGATGAACATGCAACCAAAACTAAAACTTACATAATAAATTTGCATATGATAATAGATACTTTATACTTTTAAGTATATATGCATGTATAAAAAGAAGGAATATAATAAAGCACATGATCTTTAAATATGATTAGCATGCTACATTCATCACATAGATCGATCATAAATAAATACAGTGTATAGTGTATTTTTTTTTTTTTTGAATACTATTGTACTTAAAAGGTCGTAATGAAACGTTGACAAACCTCTCCACTGCCGTCTTCCTCATCATCATTCACTTCAGACTTGGACTTATCAAACTCTTCCTCATCACCTCCCTCCTATTTGTCAATCACAAGAAAGACTCAAACTTCAAACATAAAACATACTAAAGGAACAAGACAACCAAGATAACTATACGAATTGAATAATATATGAAAACTTACTAACCTTTTCTTAGTTGTAAGCTTCCATCTGTCTGTTGTAGTCCTCCTTGCGCTGCTATGCCTTAGCAATGTAGGCAGCTTTCTCCTAAATTACAAATATTTTCATTAAAAATGCTCCACAACCCATTAAAATGATGAACCCAACTGCAAATATACCAAATAGCAAACAATCTACCATTTTCAGATGTGAATTTCCAAGTAGCCATTCCATTGATTTATACTTCCAAAAGCAAAGTGGCATAGCAACACATAGAATTCCCAATATTAAAATAAAAATAAAAATAAAAATAAAAAGCAAAGTATATTACATTATTTTGGTGCACTGACAAGAGAAACTAGCTCAGCACTATTGGTCATACTCAAACATATTAAATATGCTTGTGTAGCAATCAAATTATTGTTGAACCTTAGTTCATCACTTTATCATGTAAATTGTGGCCTAGTTCTCTCAATTATTCTCCTTTCTCTTTTTCTCTTTTTCTTTTCTGTTTTCATCATTCTGTTTGTTTTCTTTTTCTCTTCCCTACTATTCCATCATTTCCTTTTTGCCAAGGCACTCCCAAATCAGTGTGAGTGTTGTACAAGGACCACACCAAGCCTCCAGCCCCAAACAAAGCACAAACAAGCATACACAGCAAAGAAACAAAACTAAGAAGACATGAGATACCAAAACTAATCCTTTCTAGCATGCTAAAAAGAGATGACCATGGTGTTCCATTGCCAGCCCCAAGCTTGTTCCTTGCTTGCCACTTTACCTCTCTGCTGACCACCCTCATATACTGCCCAGCTAAGCAATAAATCATCAGGTTATGCCCGCAACTCCATCCCTGTTCAATAAACCACTTTATCTTTCTGTTATCCTTTTCATGTTCTTTACTCTAACAGATCCGCTCCTGGTTATATTAAGTGTAGACAACAATAAACCAGTGCTTAGATATCATGAGTAGCAGAGTTTCATGCATAAATTTTCAACATTGAGAATGATAGATAAAAAGTAAAACTGATATTACTTGTGAGTGAGAAATAAAATTAAGAGTAAAAGAGTGAGAAACGATACTCTAAGTACCCCAGAACATATATAGTCTTAAGAGTAAAAAGTCAATGTTCTGTTTATCCTTCTACTGTTAAAAGAAATAATCAACTAAAGCATCTTTATCTCCAGAACATATATAGTCTTAATACTTTCTCAAACATAAATGAGACAGTAAAAAGAAAAAAATAGTACAAACAAGCATGGGACTATACTGTTTTGAATACAAACTTGTTCATTTAACTACAACTCACGTGACCCAAAGTGTCACAATACAGATCCTTGAGTGATAAGCAGTAGTATAGACTTGCTATTTACTGAAATTGCATGAAACTACTTGAAATTTCGAAGAAGCAATTAAGGAAGAAAATGTGGCCATTCAATAGATTACTTGAAAAGAAAAAGCTTTCTTTTTCTAATGCTTTCCTAACATTGTTTCACTGATCCTAACATTGCAATCACACAAATCCCTTTAATATATGATTTGTAGTGTTCACTGATCCCCACTGCATTTTTTAATCAAATCCCCTATCCAATATATGTTTATGAAACACTAGCTTTATATATAGTATGTCCCCACTGCAATATGTTTATATATAAAATAATTTTGCATTTTCAAAACTATCCTAACATTGTTTCCAACATTCGTACCCACTGCAGACAGACGAAAAAGATAGAATTCAAGCTTTAAGACAATTGGTTTATCACTGCAAATTTAAAACTTTAGGACAATTGGTTTATAATAACCAAAATAACAACAAATAACTAAAAATTCGAAATACAAATTATAAAAATTAACAAACATAATATTTATTACAATAATAATTTTAAAAAAATTAACCAAAAAAAAAAAATATTACCTGATACGAAGCAGCGGCGGCGAAGGCTGATAACTGTGGCGGTGGACACGGCGGATGAGGGCATTGCGGCGGTGAATCGATGAACAGGTGGAACTCACAGCGCGAGGAGAACTGAGTGGCGGTGAGGAGAACTGTCGCGGCGGCTGAGGGAGTCACTGGTGAGGCGTCGGCGTCGGCGCCGGCGTGTGTTGAGGGAGGGAGGTGAGGCGTCGATCGGCATGTGTTGAGGGAGAGAACTATGTTGAGGGTTGTGAGCGAGGGTTTTCGATCAACTGATTATTTTTTCTTTTTTGAGTTTTTTTTTTTTTTAGATATTGTTTCCGCTGCCCTTGCTACGAGAAAGGGCAGCGGTAAACTGTTTTCGTTTTTTTTTTTTTTTAACCGCTACCTTATTTTAAAAAGGGTAGCGGTTTCTTCTTCATTTATTTACAATAATGCCACCGCCCCATTTTTTTAAAATAATACACTACCCTTGTTTAAAGAAGGGTAGCTTAAACTCTAATTTCTTTGCTCTATTTTGTACTAGTGTTCCTCGGTTGGTCCACTTCATCCATTGCTTGTCATCGGTCTTCAAAATGACCTCTCGGCATGTCAGATATGTCCATTTCTTTGTGGAGGATCCTTAGGACGATTTTGCATCTGATTAACATTTGGTTTTGACTCAACTCTTCCTAGGCTCTAAACCAAGGTTCAAACCTAGGCTCTGATACCAACTGTAACACCCCCCAAAAACAACAAGACTTAAAACGAGTCTTAACACATGCAGATTAACAACAAACACTAGCACAGCGGAAGATAAAAAGATAACTGGATAAAAGGAATCCAAACGGGGTGTTATGCCACGTATACCACACTTGGCATACGCTACGGCGACAATCTGCAAGTGTAACACTATCCCAAAAATAACAAACTAAAACAATCTAGAGACATTGGCACACAGGCCTCAACAACACTGTCTAAAGACACAGGTGCTAAGCTACCGGCTCTAGACATCGCGCTCAACTACGCATCACCTGAAAGATACAAAGATAAACATCGGGGCGACGCCCGGTCAGCGAAAGATGCTGGTAACCCACCAATACCGTTAAGTATCATAAATAGGTAGATATATAATATGAAAACCATTTTCGAAACGGAATACATATATATAAGTCAAAAGACAACACAAGACTGACCACTCACAAGGATAAAACTGGGAACACATCCCAACCACAAAGATTAACCACACACAAGGATAAAGACTCACCCAACGGCAACACATGCCAAAACACCACACCACAAGCCTCCGTGACTACACACGTCACGAGAGAAGAGAACTCACCACAACAACGGCTTCACAAGCCCTCGTGACATCACACATCACGAGTTGATATGCCTTCCTTATGCCCTGTTCCAACCTTATGGCTACCCCCAACCTTGTACCTTCGGTGCCAACCATTACCTCCAGAAAGCCCCTGTACAGCCAAGTCCAACCTTATTCCTCCGGGACCGTCGTCCCCCACCTATAACCACCAACGAAAACCCACCAATTCACGGCAACACATGCCCGGATAACACAATGTTATCCCCCAAACACGTGGAATCAGCCACAACTCCATGAAATCACGTCACGGCCACCACGAGGACCGCTGCAATACCTTGGTGACTAGCGTCTCATACCACTAATCGTGCAATCCAGGTAAAGCCACACACGCACCACCACTCACACGAAACATGCAACGAATTGCAAAAGAGGTACGAAACATACTCAAACAAGAGACAGGTCACCACCCATCGACAACAACGACGCTAGCATTAGGATAATAACTAGCAAGCTCAACAACGAGGAAACTCAAGATAGTTCCGAGGAACACACAAGACACCACACGGTTCAACGAAACACAATGTTGAACACTTAGCACGATTCACAACACCAAAGATCCTACATGGATACCTACCATAAAGCTCTAGACCTACGAAACATCAAGAAGACACTCAAATAGTTCCACAAAAGAACAACGGGAGGCCAAAAGATCAAAGACCGAGACAAACAAAACACGGGGAACAAATCCCACTCCAACCTCACTGTGTTCCCCAAGGGTGGACCCATGGGTGGGCCCCTACCCGTGGTTCTACCCGCGGGTACAACACCCACATTCCCGTGTACCGGCGGGTGGGCGGCGGGTAGGGCTCTTCCCGCGGGTACACGCTCCTGTGTCAAACAATCCCTACGGGGATTTTCTCCTCCAAACACAAATTCAAGTCCAAAATATGCCAAATCTCACCAAGCACAACAAAATGACTTGATCCAAGGAAAATTCCAAGCAATGGCACAAAGGAAACCTAAACACAAGCTCTAGATATGCAATATCACAAGATAAATGCATAAACACTCACATTTCATAGCAAAACACATGTAGAAGCCAAAAATCATATATAGGTAAGCAGAATAGGTTTTGTAGAGCATGGGTTACCTCTTGAAGACCAAAAGACTCTTCTTACACCACAACAAGCTCTCCACTAAGCTCACTAGCCAAACCCACTTCAAGATCAAACCAAAAGATCATAAAGATCCAACCTTTAAGAAAAGACAACTAAGATGGAACCAAAAAGACTAGACAAGCTTAGATCTTACCCTTTTAGATGCCAAAATAGAGGAAAGATTGAATCTTGGAAGCAAAACTTGGAATCTTGACAAAGGCTTCTTTTGGCTTGAAGAACAAGCTACTCTTGTTTTCTAGAGAGAAGGTAGAGATATTTTCTAGGAAATGTAAGGGAATGAAATGAAGAAGTCTTCTAGGTTTAGGTTACAAAACTAGCTCTTGGTGAAAAGACAAGGATACCCTTACTAACTCTTAGAAAGTGTAAGGAACAAGGGAACTCCTCTCAAAGCACAAGGTACAACACCACTTAAAGATTGACTTGTCAAATACTAGTCCTTGAGTATCAAAAATCAGGATTTTAGGAATCAATTCCTCAAAAGAAATAGAATTAATTACTCAATTAATTCATGGTTTGGAGTGTGGATTTTTGGGGTGTCACATCCTCTCCCCCTTCAAAGAAGTTTCGTCCCCGAAACTTGGGTACAACGAATTAAGAACGAAAGGTAACAAGGAAACAAAATTGTGACAAGAATTTCAAGAATATCCCTTTTGGTCAAAAACTCCTAAAGTTCTCACAAGGTTCCAAGGCAAAGAGAAAGACATTACGATTTCAAGGATGGGCAAGAGGTCAACAAACGGATAGATTGGCATCAAGAACTCTAACCTCAACACAACGACCAACTTCTAGACAACAACCAAGAACTCAACAACTAACCCAAACACCATCTAACACACTAGCTAAACAGCAAGGTAACAAACAAAGCAAGCAAGCACTCAAAGCACACAACAACCTAAAAAGACGAGATATCTTCCACAAACAACTCAGGGTACCGCTCCCGCATCGATGCCTCCAGCTCCAAAGTAGCTTCTTCAACCCCATGATGAGACCACCAAACCTTTACCATCCTAACAGATTTCCTGCGAGTGTCCCGAGTCTTAAAGTCCAAAATTCTGAGCGGCCTTTCTTCATAAGACAAATCTTCATCTATCGGTAACACTTCCGGTGATAAAACATGAGTCGGATCATGAACATATCTCTTGAGCTGTGATACATGGAACACGTTATGCACTCTGTCCAACTCCAAGGGAAACGCCAAATGGTAAGCCAAACTCCCAATTCTCTCCAAGATCTCATACGGACCTATAAATCTAGGGCTCAACTTCCCTTTCTTCCCAAACCGCATTACTCCCCGGGTGGGAGATACTTTCAACCAAACCTTATCCCCAACTGAAAACTCCACCTGTCTTCTAGCCAAGTCAGCATAAGACTTTTGACGATTCTGAGCCGCTTTCATCCTTTCTTGAATCTGTTTAACTTTCTCGGATGTGTCCAACAAGTATTGTGGCCCCAACAC